ATACAATATAGATGCAGTATTTTGTTAGAATTACCATGATTACTTTATTAGCAAAAATTAAAACAAACTCCAAGCAACTTGTTAAAAACATAAGCACTATCTGTAATACCACTATAAAAAGACAACAGGAAACTCTGAAATGGAGAGAGCAGGATATACATATGCAGGAAATTTGCACACCGTTCATCTATCTATCTATCTATCTATCTGTCTATCTATCTATCTATCTATCTATCTATCTATCTTTTTATCATCTATCTATCTTGACCACCAAAGTAGGCATATATACAAGAATAGGAAGTTAGTTCTCACTCCTGTACTGTAAGTCTGTTGCAAGGCATAAAAGATAAAGGTTCCCCTCAAACATATGTGCTAGTTCCCGACTCTAGGGGGTGGTGCTCATCTCCGTTTCAAAGCTGAAGAGCTAGCACTGTCCAAAGACTTCTCCATGGTCATGTGGCCATCAGGACCAAACGCCAAAGGCACACGGAACACTGTTATCTTCCCACCAAAGGTGGTCCCTATTTTTCTACTTGCATTTTTTACATGCTTTCGAACTGCTAGGTTAGCAGAAGCTGGATGAGTAACGGGAGCTCACCCCATTACACGGCACTAGGGATTCGAACCGTTGAACTGCCGACCTTTCGATCAACAAGCTCAACGTTGCTGTTACTGCTCTCCCCAAATTCTCAAGCAGGAAGATCTCCCAGGGGCTGAAAATAGTTATGCAGGAATGAACAACCATCTTTTGCTGGCTGGGAGCCACATTTTTTGTGTAGATGTGACTGGGAGATACAGGGAGTAGGGCAAGGATGCTGTGATGATATGCAAATTGATGGATCAAGTGGGCCAAACCCACCTTTGACCTTGGGTTCAGGCTTCTTTAGAATGAGAAATACAAAACTGAGAGGGAGGCTTGTGACTATGATTTATGAACATATTTGTATTGGGGTCTTCTGGTCAAAGTCTAGTATCATGACAACAGCCTTTCCACTTTAGCTTGACATTGGGTACTGTTTTATCTGACATTATCTTGACAATTTTATTCTTAGTTCATGTATTTCATTTTCTGTCTAACAGAATCAGCTTCTATTCTAGTAACAGACTTCAAACTGAAGTCTTTTTGAGAAGAAAGACATTTGATTTTTTTTAGGAGAAAGCTCACCAAAACATTCAACTCTGCCACTTTTATCATTTAGGCAGAAATTGTTTCCTTTCTGATACTGCAGCTAGTATCAGTGTTGTTGCTTTTTAAATACCCCACTTCTCCTTTGAAGCAAGCCCATGGTTCCCCTATTACCTTTTCTTCTTTGCTTTCACTGGTCCTGCTCTGCAACAACTTCCCTCTACTCAAACCATTGCAGGAAATGTAGTAATTTTAACACAAATACCAAAGAAATTACCATAAAAAATATTGAGGGGTGAAATGCATGGACAGACAGATGGATAATATTGCCATTCTAAATTTTCAAAAAGCATTTAAATAAATATATGCACTGTAATAAAAAAATCCTGTTCTGAAAACAGTTTTCTCAGTGGTTTTTAAATGTTCTCCCCAGTGTCAGGAATCCCCACCAACATTATATTGGCAGCAAACAAAAGGATTTAGATAATATATTCTAGAGAGATAATGACTCATCTAATAGGTTTCCAGTTAAGCTGATAAAGAAAATATATTTTGATCATCTAAGTACTGATAATGCATATCACAGAGAGGAAGCAGAGAAGACTAGAGGATGTGTTGAAAGTTGATGTGAAGCAAGAACCAAATTTCTTATTTCTTGTTACGCAGAAAGGCAGTGCCTATCAGAATTAACAGATGGAGAGTGATGAGGGCATAAACAAATATTAACTTACCAAATATTAACTGTGGAATTACCATGGAATGTTAATAACCAGTAGGCCAGTGTAACATTTTGGCATATATAAAAACCCTTCACAGCTCTGGAGTTTCAGTCTATAGTAAACAGCAATCGGTAAGCTGGGGTCTAAATATTTTAATTCTAATTTATTTTTGATAGGTTCTAATTAAGGGAATGGGAGGGCAGCCTAATTAAAAGTCAGTTATCTGTGATTGAATGATTAAGCCACATTAAAATCTGGCTGGAACTGGAACCATAGTATGATATGTACTATGTACTATGTGTTCTGTGTACCCATGTCCCTTCCCAACCTTGCTAAAGAGCTTGAGTATGAAATGCAGAGTCTAGCCCATTATAAGAGTTTTCTTATCATATTGGCACTTTATCCAGTTGCCCTATTCCAACTGCCATTTCTGATCCTTCTTCTAGAATGGCTGAAAACTAATAATAGGAATCTACAAAGGTTATCCAATAAAAAAAGCAGTATCATTTCTCAGCACACACACTATGCATGCACATATTATACTCAAAATTCTAAGACATTTGAGCTGCCAGATCACCATACCATCCTCAAATTTAGAAGCTTAGCCTTTCTGAATAATTCCTGCAGGTTTTTCTACTATAATAGACAGACAGACAGACAGACAGACAGACAGACAGACAGACAGACAGACAGACAAAGAGAGAAAGTCTGTAGTAAGTTTAAAAGGTTCCAGTAGTTGCTATCAGGGAACAGACAGATGCATTAGATTAGCTAGAAAGCAATTCCTTATTTTACTGGGTTTGCAATAAGATATTTAAAACATTAAAAAAAAAAAAAAACAATTGGTATGTCAGAACCAGGGCGGTATATGTCATACTATTTTTTAAAAAGCTATCGGGTCTGCAGATTAAAAATTAAATCCCTGAGGCCACAATATGATAGTAACAGGCTCATTTCATAGTCACCATTAACTGCTCTGGGTGCAAATGTAAATTAAGACCTGCAGGTCAGTGATCATCCTGGATTTAGTGGATTGTGTTTCATAGGTATTACAGTTACTCACGTGTAAAACCATTTGCCTGATCCAAAAGAAATTCATGGGGAGAACTGAATACCACTAGAGAACTGTTGAGGGTGTCACTTTACTGGCAGCCCCCAGAGCAGAACAGGACTTTAGACTGAGTCATAAGTTGTGCAGCTGTACATCTTGAGAATTTACCCTTCAGAAAGAACAGACAGTGTCAAGGGAGATAGAAACTGAAAAGATCCAAACCCATGATTTCAGGCTTCATGCCACTGAAAGAAACACCAGTACCAATCGTAATATATGGTCATAATTCTTCTCCACTTCCATTATTATTAGAATAGTGCATATGATCTACTACTCACAATTTAGAAAGAAAAACTTCCAAAGTTATTGACAAATAATGATCTTAAACATTCCGAAACTCTCCAGAAATATGTCTATTTTCTCAAAATTCTGTTCAGCATTGCATTTCGAATAGCACTTTTGCAACCTTTAAATAATTATTTAGAAATGCTCATCAAACTTATCTGATTTCTAAGTGAGCATATGTCAGAGGATTTGGCTGCAAACCAACTAATTAGTGTTAGTGTAAAGCTAAAATCTAATGTGACAAATACTTACTAATAAATACCACCTCCATTGTTAGACTTTATATTTAAATATCAATTCCACACAAGATAGGATAAATATCTCAATAACATAAGCCAGTTGATAAGAAATTAACTTAGCCTAGAGATATAAGTGACATGTAAGTGTATTAATTTTGTCCGTGAGATTTAGACAGTTTTCCTTCCTGGTATTTCAGTATTACGCATATGACCTAGTTATGTAAAACAACAACATCCACTGGATTAGAAAAAGCCAGTAACTGGAACTTGATTACTGGATGGAAAGGGCAATCAGCAATAAAGCGAATACAGGACATTAAAATAGAAAAATAAAGTTCATAGGGATAAATTAACTCAAGAAAAAAGGGTTTTTTTAACCATTAAAAAGACATAGCTAAAAGGAAACTTCTCCAAACACAAAGATCCAGTTGTGGGAGATTCTCAACCTTTGACTATTGTGGTAGGATCCATCCCCAAAGTCAAAAAAAAGTCCATAAAGGCAAGGAACCTTTTCCAGTGCCACCCTTTAAACTGGAAGGCACAGCACCATGAAATGCCTTCTGAGACAAAGACATTTCCCAAGAGGGATCATTCAGAATAGGAGACAATCCAGGCCTTGGCCTCGTGCCCAATTGTCTCACCCCACCCCCACCCCTCACTTCCACCGTCCCCTTTTAGCGATCCCCGGGGGCCACCGGTGGGCTCACTCAGGCGTCTACCCGTGGAAAGCTCTTCCTGGGCCGGTCTAACTCGCAGGAAAAGCCGAGGGAGAGTTAAAAAAAAAAAGCAGAAAGAACAGGGGAAGAGCTGAGAGCGCCTCTTCCCCACAGCATGTTCCCCGGGCCAAGGATGCGCGCGGGAAGCAAAAGAAAAGAAGAGAAGAGAATGGACTGATCCGGCGGAGAGAATCAGCTCGGCGTGGCTACGACCCCCCTTGCTAGCAGGAGGCAGGGCGAGCCCATCGGGAGTCCCGAAGACGATTAGGACTTGGGACATGAGGGCGAGGGGCCCCGAGGCGGGAAACCGAGATGCTGGAGAGGACTCGGACACTACTGAGCGCTGTAGACGCACAGGGAGCCCCAGAAGCTCTTCCCCGAATTGCCCCCCCCTCCACTCTTCCTCCCGCCTGTTCTGGGGGCCGCCGCTTCCCACCTTTCTCCGCTCAGCATCCCTCGACGCTGCCGAGAGCTGAACCGAGCCAACTCTTCGAGGGAATCAGCGAGTTGCGCGCGGGGTCCCACCGCTCTCCTCGGGTTTCCACCCAGCGCTTAATACTCATGCGCGCCCACGCGGCGGTCAGCACGTACGCCGGCTGCTCCCCACCTGTAGGCGCCGGCAAATAGCCCGCAATGGCCTGAGGCGCACGCGGGAGGGGAGGGGATGGGTTTCGCGCGCTGGTGCCACCTGCGAGACCGGCTGGGCGACATCCCGACCTGGCCCTCCAACCCCCCCCCCCCCCCCACCCACCCCTCTCCACCCTGAGGACACCAAACCGAGCATCTCCTCTTGCGAGTAGCTACCAGGGAATCGCGCCGCACCCTTGTCCTGACTTGTGGCGGCGACGGCCGAGCCGGGGTTCCAGTTGCAGGCTCAGACGGTCGGCCGGTCGCGGTGCGCGCTGCTGGCTGTGGCGGCTCCTGCCCTGGGGCGATTTAGCGCCTGTAGCTCCGGAGCAGCGCCTGCTAGCCGGTCGGTAAACCACGTCACAGACTGCCCGCCTGAGTCAAGCTGGACCGCCGGAAGGTTGGGTCCTAGCGCCTCCCAAAGGCTTTTTTCAAAGGCAGAGGAGTCCCCACCCTCCACCCCACCCCACTCCTCCCCGAGTCGGAACAGGCGGGACGGTGATTTGGGGAATCACAGGGCGATGCATCGGATCAAAATTTGGAGGCTGGGTCTCGGCAAGTCCAAATCCAAAACGCTAAGGGTGGGGATGGAGTAACAGGCATATGCTGGGAATGGACGGAAAGTCATCCGCACAACAAGCGGAGATGCCCAGCAATAGGGATGAGAATGGATGGGACCAACCAGAAGAGCAAGGAAGTGATGGATGGGTGGAGGTGGGAGGAGGAGGATATGCATCAATGATGGGAATCAGGGCATTAGGAAAGCCAAAGAAGCTGTGAGCACATGGATTACATCCAAATCAACTGGGCATCAGGAATAATCCTGAGCAATAGAGATTATTTGAACACTTTTATCATGGACTAGCAAGTACATAGACCGAACTAAGGGAAAAACAGACCAAGGAAATAGCAGAAAACTATAGAATCAGAATTGGATTTAGTTCAGAAGCAAAGATGTGAAGGTTAACATTCAAGTTATCCAAACCTGTTGTGATATCATGTCCTCGGATCAAAAGCAGGAAAACTGAAAACCCTTTGTCCTGCAAACTGTTTTCAAGGTAGTAATAGAAAGAAAATGCATGAGTAGTTAAGAATGAGCTCAGTTTGAGACTTCTTGAGGTTGCTACACAATTTTGTTTGGGTTAAGAATACCCAGAATTGTTTGGAAGCAGGACAGTTCTTTTCACCAGCTTTACAAAGATGATCTTTACTTGGGATTGCTGTAGCAACCTCCATTTGTTGCTGTTACAGGGACAAATATCACAATGCAGTATGTCTGTGGTTCATAAGAGGTAGAATTGATTGCAGATGTTTTTCACACTATAAATTTTATACAATACTGCACCCCTTGTAGCAGCAATCCCCACTTAATCCCCACTTTTTCTGCTTGCTGGTAAGTTTTTTTCAGGCAAAGTACAATGTTGCAAAGTTATTTAGCATAAAGATTCCAGCAGGGAATCCATAATGGAAAATAAGATTAATTGCTGTAAAAAAAACTATTCAGTGTTTTTTTTCTTGTGTTTTGTTTTATTTGCTGGCTAAAGCCTGTAATAAAATAACATTGAATTGGATTCTTCAGCTTGTAAGAAAAAGACAAAATTTGTTCATATTCTAAATGACTATTCCCTGATTAGCCACAAATTTAACCAAGGGAGAACTTAATCCTAAAGAATCCCCATGATGTTATCCAATATGTGACTACTATTGAGTAACTGGAAACAATTATCACAATGCTACCATGATTAACATTTAGGCTAGTGAACAATTACAAAATCCCAACAAGTATAATTGCACTTCCATTTCATTCATGAAGCAGAAATGTTTTTATTAAGAAGCATTAGAAATACATAAAATATTGATATATCTATCAGTAGTTACATGTCAGTTTCATTTCTATTTCATACATTTCTTTCAAATCATACACTTTAATTCTAAGATATAATATCTGATATTTCTAAAGTTTAGGTTAATGGTTAATCAGTTGATTAGTAACAACGACCTTTTACAATTTTTTATAAAAACAAAGTAAGTCCTAATGAATTATGCCACAGTTTTGTAATATGGACACCCTTATAAAAATATATGGATGTGCAATCCTATCTTAAAAGATAGTGTCCCCTTCTCTGTTATATAATCATGGACTGCATAACATGCATACACTGTATATTTTTAACATGTAAGATAAAAATACTGTTTATTGAGGGTTAAGATCTTCCCTCTCCCTTGGAATATGCTGCAACTCAGAGTTTCGAGTTTCATTTTACAGAGTCTTAATATTATGGATTCTTCTTCCACCAGATCATAGCACTATGTTCCTTTGCCCTCTTGTAAAACAGCAGGTTTGCTTGCTAGCTTGGATTGTCCAGGCAGGAACTCAAGATAACTATGGCATTTTGGATGGCAACAGTTGCCCTTTCATCTCTTGTCACTGTCCATCTGTTTATAGTGTGTTTCTGCAGAGCAGTCCAGAATCCCTCTCCCATCCCCCCTCCCACCCTTCTTTGCTTTCACTTAGCTTTTGCTCAGCCAATATAGCTGTGTCCCTCTGCTACCTGGGAACAGTTCCACTTTTACGACTGAATTAACTCAGCAACATATTGATCCTCCATGTAAATCTAAAGCATTATATTGGATGGCCAGATTTCATATCATGAAGACATTAGGGGCTACAAATTGAAAATTCTTTATGAACCCAACTCAATATCAAGTAATTATTTAGACCACTCTCAATCATATGTGCTGGAATTACAACTACTAAGTTTCTCAGAAAGCATGGGGGTACATTGGAAAGTACAAAGCTTTGCTTTGCTTTGCTTTGCTTTGCTTTGCTTTGCTTTGCTTTGCTTGCTTTGCTTTGCTTTATTTTATTTTATTTTATTTTATTTTATTTTATTTTATTTTATTTTATTTTATTTTATTTTATTTTATTTTATTTTATTTTATTTATTGGATACTAGAGAGCTGCAAAAGGCAGAACAATGATTTGATGCCCTCAACTAAATGACCAGGGCCATAATTTTCCTTGTTTGTTTTTCTAGAGTTTGAGGGATTTGGTTATTGTTGATATTGTTTTTGCTTAGGTGTATTAAACCTAAAATAGGAGTATATACTTCTTTGCTTTATTAAATTATTAACAAAATAATAATCATAATAATTCAAACAGACAGACATCTGCCACATAACCCCCCAGATTATCATAAAAAAAAGGGGGGGTATCTGGATAGTGAATATAATTATACCTGGAGATAGTCAGAAGAGAAGAGAAAGAACTGGATAAAACACAAAATACAAAGACCTGCAAATAAAACAACTATGGCAAAATAAAGCAGAAATAGTATCAATACCGAAGTAATATGAGCCTTGGATGGACTCCCAAAATATATGGAGCACTACTTGAACATTATCGGCATTGACAAAATTACCCTCAGTCAATTGCAAAAGGCAGCTTTACTTGGAACTGCTTATATCCTGCAACAATACCTTTGATATTATTAAACTGCATCTGTTTCTCCTAGGCCCATGGGAAGAACATCAATAGTGGATAAAAATTACAAATCCAGTCTAACCAACTGGCTGAGTGTGCAACCAACCATCATAATAATAATTCTTTGCTTCTCATTGCTTTGCTTCTGAAACTTGAAGATCAAGATATTAAATAAATCCATGCCTGGATTGGGTATGGAATTAAAAGAAGTAAAATATCTCTTATACCTCCAACCAGTGGTGGGATTTAAATAATTTAGCAACCAGTTCTCTGCCCTAAAGATTTCTTCCAACAACCAGTTCATCAAACTGCTCAAAAAGTTATCAACCGGTTCTCCCGAAGTGGTGCGAACTGGCTGAATCCCACCACTGCCTCCAACAATATATTTTAAATACTGAATGTGTACTTATGCTTTTTCTATAGGAATTTTATGAAAGATTACAGTAATAAAAACTAATACAAACTGGAAAAAAAGAAATAAAAGGTACAGAAAATAAAGAAAAAAGCACACACACAAAAATAGAAAGCCCCACTCTCAGATTTAAACTCTGACTCTAAACTCATCCAATAAAGACAGTCCCTTTCCTTTAATTGTTCATTAGGTTTCCTTCCTTTCCTTTCTCATTAGGAAGGAGACCAAATGATGAATCCCCAACCCCAACTGTTTGCATAATCCTAGAACTAATTATCCCATGGAGGAGGAGAAACCGGCAAGCTAACCCCAGTTTTACTGACTTTTTTATCTTTTAGGGCCTGGAACTAACTATTCCATGAACAGAAAGGGAAGAAGAAAGCTGTCACAACTGGCACCATTAGAACATTTACTCTTCTAAATAAGGAGTACACTACATTATACACAATGTACAATGTACACAACAACACTACATTGTTGCCCATATCAGTCCTACAGAAATAAGTACCATTTGAAATGACATTTTGTGCAGCAACTAACCTGTTGCATTCATTTATATCACTTCAGGATATGTTTCTTGGGCGATTTCTCAGTCTCTGTTCATAAAGACTGCTTTGTCCATTATAGAACTAATCTATAAATTTATGAGCTCTTAAAGCTGATGTAATTCTTTTCCCTAACACCCCTGCTCTTTTCATCTGGAACAGAAGATGTTGCCAGAAAGAGGTTTTTAGATTTTTAAAAAAGTACCCTAGCTCTTTGTGACACAGCCAGTGGTGTATTAACCATTAAGCAGACTAAGTACGTGCCTAGGGCACCAGGCCCAAAGGGGGCACCACAAAGTTGAGAAAGAAAAAAAAATGGCTTCATTTGTAGAATATGTACAAAGGAGAGGGGGCACCAAGATTTGTCAGTGCTTAGGGCATCAGTGAGCCTTAATCCGCCACTGGACACAGCTACAAAGATGAACTCCTTACAGAAGCAGTGTGGACCAAAGACCATTTAATCAGAAGCAGGAGCCATTATGAAGTAAAGAATGAGATATATGAACATTCACTGCAAATAACAATAATAATGATAAAAATTCAGCATGTATGTTAAAATTATATGCAGAGGAAACAATTCACAGAATAAGAGTGGTCTGTTCCACAAATTTTGAACTATGTATCATTTGATGATAGAATTACAGAGTCATAATTGTCAGAGTTCCAAGTAATAAATCCATAGCAAGCAAGACTCCAAGGCATATAGATTCCTCAAAGAATACTCCTATTTGGAATTATCATATTGACACGTATCTTGTGAAAATCGACTCTAAGGTCTCCCATGGTTTACACCTAATTAAACGTTTTCCCACTTTCTCAAAACTATCAGTCACATAGTCCAATCACAGAACAGGCTGGCAGCCGGGTGACATCACTCCGCCTTCTTCCATGAGAATG